CTGGCATGCCCATTTTCAAACCTCTCATCACAGAGACTGTGTGCAAAATATGCAACATATTATTTTAGGGCTGGAAACAGATACATTAAAAAAAAAGGCTGGGAAACGTTCTGGGAGAAACTGGGGAGTACTGCCAGAGGAGTGTTATCACAGAAAGAGCACCAATCTAACTGACCATTAGTGATGCTCTGTGCCTGGACCTAGATGGTGATTTATGTATTATTAAGTAAGGGAATATAAAAACCAGCACCCCCACCACCACCAAAAAAAAAAAAAAAAAAAAAAAAAACCAAAAAAAACCCAACAACAAAAAAACCCACCTCAACCCAAAAAAACTTTCGTTTTTTTTTCACCTTCACCTGCCAATGGTGGCCATTGGGACCCACTGATGGTGGTCCCACCGACGGTGGTCATGGCAGGGCAAGGTAGCTGACGGAGCTCAATGAGGATGTTCTGCATGGTTGGTGAGATCTTCATCTGCTGTTCCAAGTCCCATGTGAGCGGGGATCAGTGGGAAGCCGGGGGGGGGGGGGGGAATATGGGGGAACTGTGTTTGATGGAAGAGCTGGGTGTCAGCCCCACATGTGTGTCGTCCACCATCCCTGGCAGAACTTCCAAGTGTGAAGGAACAGAACTTCATGGGCTCCAGGGAGACCACAGAGAAACTTTCAGTACCTAAAAAGGCCAACAAGAAAGCTGGGGACAGTCTGTAGTGACAGGACAAGGAAGAATTGCTTTAAACTGACCAAGGGGAGATTTAGATTAGATATTAGAAAGTTCTTCCCTGTGAGGGTGGTGAGGCACTGGGAAAGGTTGCCCAGAGAAGCTGTGGCTGCCCCATCCCTGGCAATGTTCAAGGCCAGGTTGGACAGGGCTTGGAATAACCTGGTCTAGTGGAAGATGTTGGAACTACATGATCATTAAGGCTCCTTCCAATCCAAACCATTCTGTGATTCTGTGATTTTGTTCTCTCCATGCATTGTGCTTACAAACAACTGTTAACATGTTAATTATCCCAGGCTTTTGCTTCAAAACATCCAGTAAACCAGGTCCTATCCCATCTAAAAATCACAGATATTCCATAAACCAGGAGCTATAACCTAAACCCTGTTTTCTTAATGCTTTGTAACTCCATAATCTATTTGATTGTGAATTTCAGAGGCTGTCTCCTGTGAAAGAACAGTGGCATTTGCTACACTACAGATTTCACAGCACATCTGCCATGGTGCTGTAAATGCATACAGGGGAGTCTGAGGAAATGCAGCAGTGTATATCAAGTAAAAGTTCTATCTAACTAATCAAGTCCACAGGGACAGCATGCAGTGTCACAAGACATATCACTCTACAGTTGAATGAGGTTGTCAGCCACTGAGAGATCTGGAAACTGCTGGCAGCAATATGCAATATATGTAGTCTTCTAAAGTCACAGTAGCTCTGCAAAGTATGTCTTCCCATGGATGAAGAAAAATAAAAAAACAAAACAATAAAATAAATGACATATGAAAGGGTATTTGTTAATCTATCTTTCCATATTGTGTTGCTGTGAACAAAACCAAACTCGTTTGAAGTATGTCACATGGACATGAAAAAGGTTACTTTGTAGGTTTCCCGAATTGCATATACACATATACAGACCAAAACAATGTGGAATTTCTTACAATGCCATGTGTCAATATAAATGAAATATTAATACAGACAAAAGAAATAGAAAAGCATTTATAGATAAATCTTATAAATTCAGAAATCACCCTAAGAGTATTCATACACTTTTTTACAGATGTGTGAACTCCAGTAGAGCTCCTCACAAATTCTATAAAATCTGACATTAAAAGTGTACATTGTTGGAACTTGCTGTAAGAAGTTCAAGAATGAAAGCAAAAGATTTTCTCCTGCCCTTTACTCAAGTCATTGAAGAAAACCGCCATGCTTTAAGAAAGCAGTCACATTAAATTATTAGTCTTACCCCGGATTCTTTCATTTATTAGAGCAAATACATTGGGAATGCATTTATTAATACATATGCATGCAGAACAGCAATGAGTAAGTACCTCTGCAGAGTGTGCAGCTGTATCGCAACACTTAAAATTCAGAAGAAAGGTCTTTATACCTAGAAGTGGTTTCTCCTGGAAAAACTGAGCAGCCTGATAAAAGATGCTATGTATCCCTGTAAATCCTGTCTTGCTAAACTCTCTCTGTACTTCAGTAACTTTGGTATGAGATCCTTTTAACTAACAGAATTAATGCACAGAATCTATATTCAGGCTTTAATTAGAAAATGATTTGTATTCTGTTTGTATTTATTACAAGTAATCTCAATTTTTAACTTTATTTTGCTGGTACACATTTCAATTCAATTAGAATCAAGTGTTTCTACCACATGGCTTTCCACCCACTGACATGAAAAACATTTCAGCTGTTCTTAAGAGCTGAAATTTCAGTAGGCTTTAAATGTACAGTTGAGTACATACATCAAATTCTGCTTATGTGTATGTTACATCTGTGCAAAAAACTTATTTTTCATTTACTACTACAACACCTGATTACATATTTGTACAAATCATGCATGACTATGAAAAATATCACACACACTTTACAATACTGTAGAAAGAGACAAGAAGGCAAACAAACCCAACATAATTAGATTTGCTTCAAGAACGTTCCTATGTTAATTCACTGTATCATATTTCACAAAGTGCTCTTCATTCAAAGTCTGACAAAAAAAAGGAAAAAAAACCCAAACAAATTAAAAAAAACCAAAACCACAATCAAGGTAAATCATGGGGCAGAAAAACAGTTCATAAAGTAAATCATAGAATGAAGAAGATAGCCCAAGTGTGCAAATCCTTTGGGGAGGTCAAAACTGAAAGGTTGGAGGAAGAGTATAAGCAAAAAAGAACTGAGGAGGAACTAGGCAAGAGCAAATCTACTGTGAGTTCTGAGAAGGAAATTATTTTTAAATTGCAGTGACCAAGAATCCAATGATGGTGACAGAGGACAAATCACAGCCCAACTTCATGGAGGAGAACATTTTACTTGTGACATTTAGTACACCTTTAAATTTTTGGGAAAAGGACTGCTAAGAACTAAAATTGAGGGAGTTGCTGCTTTACAGTCAGGAATCATTAAGAGCAGCTCTGAAAAATGTGGGATACTTCTGTTACCACTGACTACAGCGGAGTTTGAAAGCACCCACAGTACTCGTAAACCTTAGGAAAAAAAGTAAGTCAGAAATAAGGATTATTTTTCTGTAGAAAGTGAAAAAGTACAGCCAAGAATTACAAGAATACTTTAAGCCATTTTAATGAATAAACCAAGGATTTCTCCCTATGGGAGCAAATTTCACTTTTTGCTCATTTCCATCTATATCATGCAGTGTTTTAATTATGCAGCAGTCTCAACAAATAGATTGTCACAGCATTTTAGAGTAGCTAATTCTATTCAAAATGCCAGCAGAAGATGGGATAATGTCTTTATTGGTTTGGCTTAGTTTAACCCACCCGCTTCTATTCATAATGACTTGAACAATTCAGAATATTATATCCACCAAAAAAATCTAATATTGCAGTTATATTAAGACTTGGATATACCCTGACAATCAAAGTACTACAAAGAATAAACTCAGGATTCTCCCAGCTACTCAAAATCAACTCAAAATAATTTTAAAAGCTCGACCAAAATATTCTAAAAAGAATGGGTTGGATAAAATATTTTAAGGTCTGAGATAAGCACATTGCCGCTGTCTCTCTGCAATGGAAGTGTGTTATTAACAACAGAAAAACAAGTAAGATCGGATACATAATTCCTAATATAAATATAAATTAAGACAGCACTCCAAAGTGACTGGAGGTAAGTTCATTAGCTCTTCTGATCCTAAGTTTCTACTGGAAAGTGGCTACACAAGGGAAAATTTAGGCATGCACTTTATCAGTATTCTTTTCAATAACAGATTGACATATATTGACAGTCCCTGTATTATACCATTCATTTACCCACAACATTTCCAAAATTATCATGAAGTTAACCAATACTCATAATTTCTGTTCTCTAGATTTATTTATTTTTTACTCTATTTCAGTAGTTGGGTAATATGACAATAATGTACCTGGTTATTCAAAGGGAACTGAACATTAGAGGTAAACAGTAAAGGTATTTATAACTGCTCTCTATAGGCCAAAGATGCATTTAGAAATAGATAATTCTTTTCTAAGAACAATTTTAAAGATAAAGTCATTCCTGATGACTGCAGATGGACCATAATGTCTCTTCAGTTAAAGTGCAAGTCTAATTCAGTGACGAGAGGTAGTAACTTGTTACTGCAGAGCTGCAGAGTAACCTAAGATGCAGAATCATTCACAGGTTTAAAGCAACAGGCAAGGACAAACAGAAAACATGATAATTTTCCTTGTGTTAACTTCCTATCTTTGAAAAATATTACAAAATCTGTGGCAACGTTATTTCATGAGTGTGCATATCATCACCTCCCTAAAAACTAGTACCTTGCAATTTGCTGTACATACCGCACTTCCCTTCTTATTTGGTTGGTTTTGTTTTTGCTTTGTTTTAAATTTTCAGAGCATAAATAACCTCTGTGTGATCAGGTTGCTGACAGAAAATGATCTATAGGTGTAACAACCTTTTTGAATGAAAGAATAAGACAACAAGCTACTTTGGTGAAAATCTTCAGCTGACAGAGAAGAGTGACTGACTAACTGACTCTGACTAGCAATATTCAAGTAAGGTGTGTACCTGCTTATGTATATTTTACAAATGGAATATGCATTTTTTTCTTTTTTTAAATAGGAGGTTTGCAACCAGGAAACTATACCCTTAAACTGAGGTAAATTTAAAGCACATAAGCGCAGATATGTGCAGACAAAACATTCAGAGTGACAGAGCACCTCAGATTTTAATTTCTAGAGGAGTGCAAATGAATGAAGACCTTCACATGCTATACATTTACATACTCAGAGAAAAAAACCCAAAACCAAATATTGCCTTACCCGGCCAACGAGTATTGGTTCAGGTCCAGAAAATTCTTCTAATACAAACATTTGATTCCAAACCCAGCCTCTCTTGGAACGGTTCAAAACTCTTTGTTCTTCATTTAGCCTTTTTAGTCCTGTACTGGATCCACTTGGTATTACTTGAGACTGATTCATTGGAGCCATATAAATGGAGGGAAGGACAGTAATCCATAATATTATTAATGGAGTCCATGTATCCATAAGCATTTCCATTAGTCTTTCTGGCATTGTACCACAAGCTACGCAAATCACCACAGAAATGAAATTATTATTTTGCTCTCTTCCAGACTGTAGCAATCCAATTCATCATGCAGTACAGAACATTTACTTACAGCTCCTCCATGTGTTTACAGCACAGTCAAAGTAAAAATAGTTTAGATTATAAAAACATGACCCATTGAGTTTTTCAGTCATTAAAGAATTCTGGAAGAGAAAAACAAAAAAAAGAAAAAAGTCAAATCAATGACTACAGAGCTCAGAAAAGCATTACTTTTACATCACAAAAAAAAAAAATATTAGGTTTTAAATTTGTAGTACATAATGTTAGGGCATATTAAATTAGTTAAAAAATAATCTAAGTGATCCTGTGAACTCTTTCATTGCCTGAAATACTGAGAGAAGATCCAGACAAATGATTACATACACTCAGGAAAACATTTTACTTGCAGAGGCTCCTGGGCTTCTTGCCTGCATTTTTATTTTTTTTTATGTAGTCAACTATAAACATTTAGTGTGTCAAATAATAAAAGTTAAACACAATAATGGCTTTGCATTCAGACTTATTGTCCTTTCCTCCCCAACAAAAATAAATGAAGTCCTGTAAGCAGACATGGCTTCAGCAGTACATTCTCATACTAGTAATCACCTTGCTGCAGCAGCACGCAGCTCAGCAAAACCTTCACAGCCCAGCAGAGGAGCAGGAGTGGGAAGTCCACTGTGAAATCTGTGATCCCAAAACCAGACCTCTACCAGAAGCTAAGTAAGCTTATTCATTCACATCTGCTTTACAGGACTCTGAGCATCAATCTCTCACTTTCCGAGAAAACGCAGTCAGATTCTACTTCCAAGACATTTTCCTTGATGGGCACTTGGAGGCATTTTGTCTTTCTTTCCCCACTCACCCTTTCATATATTAGAAAGGCATATCAGGTTTCATCTTAAAGTAAATATTCCTTTAAATGGACAAGCAAGTTAACGTAGTAGGGCTTGCTAATATCACGGCAATTGGCAAAACTGAAATGCAGCCATGGATCACTTAGAAAGATAGACAGGACACAGCTCAGGGAGAAGTGCTGCATTACAGATACTCTAATGAGGCTGGGGTTATGTAAGAAGATTCCTGATGCATTTTCTTTGACTGATTCATATCCAATCTCATGAGAAACCACTATATACAAGATAGGTAGAAATGTCTAATCTTAAGCTTACTACTGAGTCTTAGGTTGTTCTTTTTCCACTGTAAAATGAGTTCGTTGTGATGCATATCCATGAGAATCTTGGGTAGGTTAGGGGTTTTTTTTGGAGGGGTGGCTGTTTTTTTCTGTTGTTTCATCTACACTCATGGCAGAAAATATCTGAAAACATGAACAGCACCAGTAAAAGTCAGCTGTAATTTTAAAAGCAAACAATGCAAAAGTTCTTTTTTTTTTTTTTAAACTTCAGTAATTGCTAAAGCAACTGTGAAATCTGTTGCATGAAATTCTTAAACTGTGAGAAACTTGTCTTGTTAAAAGAAGAGAAGAGCTGTTATCAAACTAAAACTCAATATCTCAAGTAGCATGGATGAATGGCAAGCTAATAGTGCAGTGCTTTGACAATGCATCAAGAATGAGGTGAATACCCACTGAAGAACTAACTGTGGCTTACAGGCCTCATTGCCAACCAAGATGGTCTTGCAATGAAATCTGAGGGAAAATGCGAAGGAAACGAGAAGCCTTCAATCTCCTGGCTTTCTCTCGATCACAGAAAAGAGAAAAGGAGGAGCAAATAGTCTAGTTTTTGATGGGAAGGGTCTGTCAGGTCACCCTCTGAAAACTCTCTGGTTTAGGGAATTAAACAGAGGCTGCTGCTGCTGCTTTCTGGCACATATCAAAAAGATAGATTTTGTGTAGCACGTTTGGTGGTAGAAGGTTTGAAAACAAAGCAGCAGCAAAACTTTCAATGAAATCAGTTAAGTGTGTTTGCACGGGACCCTTGTGCGCATGTTAAGTGGGCTTGTGGGTGCGTGTGTCTACCAGAGGATAGATACTTCTGTTTTTTCTTGTTAAAGCTAGAACTGAAACACAGGAAAAATAGAACCACTGTAAAATAGAGTAATAGACATCATCTTCAAACAATATCCAGAATTAAATTCAAAACTGGGGGCATAAACTGAAAATCCAACTTGAGAGACTCGGAGTCTCCTACGTTGGAGATATTCAAGGCCTGCCTGGACAAGTTCCTGTGTGATGTACTCTAGGTTACCGTGCTCTTGCAGGGGGGTCGGACTAGATGATCTTTTGAGGTCCCTTCCAACTAACCATTCTATGATTCTATGATTCTGTGATTCTGTGAAAGTCCTTTTCTGCAGCTGAGATTTCAGGTTTTATATACAAAGAGATTTTTGACCCAGAAATAGAAGCCGACCAGAAACAGAATTGTACATTACACCCTTGTGCAAGAAAGCCTTAAAAAGAACCCAAGTGGGCTATTACTGACTTTCTTACTCTTCCAGTACAATTGGTATACTAGTTTTTATCCCCAGAACCAAATAATAATAAAGCACTTCATAATCAAGAGGCTTTCTGAAAACAATTCTTAATTAATCTGCACAGGCTGCCTTCTGAAAGAGATTAAATAAATGAGATATAACAATACAATGCTCACAGAAACATTTTTTGTTTGAAGAAAGAACAGGATATTTGTTTTTCAGACTGCCACTCTGAAGACCTGGCAAGCATTAAGTTCATTTCAGGGCATCTCTCCTCAGTTCCACCCCCAGACTTCCTGCCTGTTACTCTTCACTTACTCCAATCAAATTTAGGTCCTATCTAATAGCACTAATGCATAATATTCACTGTGACTGGACCATCCTCACAGTAGCTCCCTATTCATAAACACCTTAAGGCAGTCAAAAGCCCACTGAAAACATTAGTAATGCACACACATCATTAAACCTAAATCAACGAAATAGCCCAGTGAAGAGTACAGTTACACAAGCTCAATACACACAAAGCTGCAAGATTCTTAAGTACCAAGAGGAAGTTAGTAAGGTGTTAGGCAGCACAGGGTAAAGAAAAAATCTGAGGGAGCTTTTGCATGTAATGGTGTACTGCAGGGTAATATGATCAGTGTATAACAGTAGAGCTAGATAATTTTACCCACATTTCAATATAGCCTGCTGGAGTCTTTTGAGACTCATTTGAGAAAGAATCTCATTTGGGATTTACTACTCTACCAGTGAATTCTGGCATTTACTCTGTGTAATATATGGAGTTGGTACAATTCCCAATTTTTTTTACTAAATTCAGAAATGAGTTTTCTTCTCCATTCGTGGGAGCAGAACTCCACCCATGTGGCTGGGAGCTGATGGAAGACATTATTAAATACTAGGCCCTGCAATTTTCCTGTTGGCTACTATGAAAATCAAGAAATGCCTGGCAGTTAAATTATAATCTTCTGGATTAGCTGCGTAGGAGAAACTGGTATGTCTACTGAAGGCTACTGTAACTATTAAAAAGCCGTAAGCAAAGGGAGATCTGGCAATAACAGAACACTAGCAGGTGAGCCACAGAAACACCTTCCCTTCTTAAATTATGTTAGGATCTACAAAATGGTGAGTATGGAATGACAGCAAAATTACACCAGCGATGACAGAAATTCCTTTTACTAAGCAACCGAAGTTGACAAGCACATGGCCCTTAGAGAGTGTGTTTTCACCCTGATAAAGATTCTGTTGGTGTTTATAAAAGCATCATGTTTTGCTTTAAATTTCCATGTGTTCAAATGGCTCTGGGCTGTTTTCTTTAAGAAAACTTCCTTGTTCTTCTAAGTGGCTTCCCTGGATAGTGTATGATATATGCAACAATAGATATAAATCTAATGCACCAAAACTGCTTACAAAACAGCTTTAGTTCTTCATTCATCCCTGGAAAGGGAAAGTGATAGTTAAACTACAAAGAATTTCTTTAACTTAACAAATAGATGAAAGAAAATGCAACACTAAGTCAGGTAGCAGAGATTTAAATAACTCTCTCATATTCATACATCTGGTTCTCAATGCACAACCATACAGAAATGGTTTGTTTTCCACTTGGTGTATGTGCTGATATAGTTTTAGAAAAATATTATTCTTTTAACAGAAACAGGCATCTTAGATCACTACTCGTACTCTAGGGCATAGAGCATGAAAGTTTTATATGAGTACAACATAGAAAGTGATTACAATGAAGTAGAAGTTTATAACCTAACACTAGTTCATAACTAGCATCCCAACACCAAGAATTAATGTAACACACACTGCAACCTCTTTTGGAAGTAAAATCTAGGTTACTTGTATGAGTTAATTGTCTGCATAAAGTTAGAGGCAGGTATGTTAGCAGATAGGTATAGTAGATATAGATATACTTAACTATGACAGTTCTCATTTTGAGTATAAGTAGTACAAAGCTTTATGATGGCTAGCATCTCCCATGTAACAAATTTCACTATAATTATTCTAGAATCATCTTGTAGCTTTAAAATATCAACACTGTAATACCGAAGACTTGTTAAAAAGATTAATAATGTTAATAAAGCCAGTTTGATATGTAAACGTCTCAGTGAAAAAGAAGCAAAATAAGATCATAAAAGGCTTTTTACAAAACAATTTATTTTTAGATTTTAAACCACAGTATCTGGTCAAACAAACTACTTCATTACAATGCTAGTGCGTTAATTTGCACCATGATCTTAGTTTAAAAGATTTTAAAGCCGCTCTAGTGTTTCTTCACACAAGTGACATGGAGGTTTGTCTTAAGAATTAGCACAAAGTTTTTCTTTACTTCATTCTGCATAACATTCATGCTATACAACACCTAAGCCCTTTGTCCTCATTATTTCACAAGGGTGGATTTTATCACTTCCTAAACAACTGTTATTATGGTAAAAGAACCCTTAAAGTATTAGTTTAATTGTAAAAGTTACATTAAAGATGCCAGTCAAAAGTTGGTGACCTTTGCCTAAAGCATGGGCTGTTCATAGAACTCTTAGGATTTATTTTGTCCATTAAATGACCCCTTCAGCACACATTCAGAAGACTGATAGCAGAGTGCCCCGCTCTGAGGAGGTAAACAACACGTAAAAGCAATGGGGTTCTAGTAAAAGTGTTTTAGATACCTTATGCATAATTTCTACCTTAGACACTAATTCAAGATAGGCAAATCTGCATTGCAATACAAGCACCC